TTAAACATTCTTATAAGAAACAAACCAAACAAAAATGAAAGAAAATGAATAGGTTGGAAATGTTATAATGAAGGATTCCATGTCAGAAAAAAAAAGATAGGGGAGGCTATAATGAGGGATCTCCATATCAATTAATTTATTCAAAGTCACTCTAACTCCGCCCTTACCCTCCCCTCATCTCCCCTCAGAAAGGACAAAAAAAAAATGAGATGCACATTTTTTTTTTCGACTGGTTCTTTTGAGAGCATTCTGCGTGGTCATTCAGCCGGGGGGGGGGGGGGATGTCAGGAGAGTGAAAAATGCCGAGGTTATTGCACGTGAGGGCCGTTGCTTCGAGAGGCTATCCCACCGGTTCCATTGTGACGGCGTCGGCATCGGAGAGAAAGGAAAATGAATAGAAAATCGAATTTCACTCTCGCCACCGAGGTTGTTAAATGGTTCTAATGGAAGCTAGTTATAACGGAAAGGAGATAATATATTAGAACTCTTCCTAACTGACAACCAAATCAACCCTCTCATTCAAACAAATATGCCGAAGAAAAATCAATCAGCGTAGGACGACCAGGAAGACATCGGAGGGCGTCGACGAGAAGGAAGAACCGCCGGACCGCCCTTAGATGGGAGAGGCGGGCGTGAAGGCGGGGACACGCCGGAGCTCATTTGAATCGGCATTCTTATGTTCTCATCCGAATTCAATCGTATTTGATGCTAGGGCGTAGGATTCCATTTGTGTATTGTTCACATCGTTATATTATTTATATAAATATTTTTTATTATATCATTTTTTAAATCTATATCAGAATATTTATATGATATATTCTATTATATCATTTTTTAATTCATATCATAATATTTATATAATTATATTTTATTATATCATTTTTTTTTAATTCAATTTATTCTGAAGGCTGTCAACAATGCGGATTGCGGGAAGATACGGAGCTCTAGGTGGCGGTATCCAAGGACTTACGGGAACGTCCTTTGTCTCGCCGAGATGTAGGAAATGTCAATTGATGTGGCAATCAACATCAAGTCACTTGCAACCAACGTCAAAATCCGATTACGAGTTTTTTTATATAGACCGCGTATCAGAGTTATAAATACAAGATCTCACGAAAGACAATAGAATTAGATCCGTCTGTCCTAAGAGTTGAAATGCCTTTTTTTTATACTAATCTAATCCTTTTTTTTTCTTTAACTTGTCTTCTGGAGCAATAATGAGATGTCAATTCCTCACGTAGGCTAGCGAAGATGCCCTTGGGAGATCAAGGAGGGTGATGGTGCATGACACGAAAATGTTGATCGGATCTTGAGGGTTCATTTTCTTACGGAGTCCTGCTGATAACCGTCTCCCCCTCTCAATCAACATCCTTCTTTCTGTTTATCTCCGTCTCTCTCTCTCTCTCTCTCTCTGCGCGCGCGCGCGCGCGCGTGTGTGTGTGTATGTGTGTGTGTGTTGTCTGGCTGGCTATTTGTCTTTCTCTCTCAATCTATCTATCACGATCTATATAGTTATCTATCGGTGCCTCGATCCCTATCTCTCTATCACTTTCCAGTCCTGATTTAGATTACTCACCTCACATACTTCGCTTTACTTACATTACGGTAGAAAATCAGGAAACAGATGGCTAGTCTACCTCGTGTCTTTAAACTTGTAACAATAATCAAGAATGTAAATGATATATGCTGACCGTTTTTAAAGCCCAAATGGCTGTTAACAAGCCCTTTGTTTATAGTCTTGCGAAAATAAAACACAAATAAATTGAGATAAATGAAAAAAAAGGGCAAGAGAATAAGAATATAAATAGCATAAATGTTAGACACAAAAAAAGAGGGGAAAAACATACCAAGATCTTATAAATCCCGAGAAACCCTTAGCTAAAGTGTCTTTATGGGAACCTGTAGCCCATTACCTGTGATGTAAGAAGGCTCAAAGTAGCAATTTAAGGTGTTTAAGTTGCCGGTAGCTGCGTTGAAGATTACTTGGGGACTTCCGTGTATGGATGGCATAATTATTGAGGTTTGGAGAAAAAGTCAGTCATGGGAGAGGTGGAAAAAATGGTTCGTCGCTTCGGGCTGTTGTTTAAGACGCGTGAAGTACTTTGGAGAGACGGGTATTTTTGTGTACGGTAGTTACTCACATACACACACACACACACATGCACTCACGCACACACATACACGCAAGCACAGACACACACACACACACACACACACACACACACACACACACACACACACACACACACACACACACACACACACACACATATATATATATATATATATATATATATATATATATATGTATATATATGTATATATATATACATACATATATAAACGAATAACCAGTTCGGGACATCAACAGCGTGCGTCTGCCGGCAGACCTTGGAATCGTCACCCTCATGATGTTTTCTCTCGCGATACAGCATGCGCGGATAACACCAGGCTTAGCACGGACAAAGATTCATTTTATACTACATCTGGGCGAAAGAAGGGTTGAGGGGGGTTTATTACTCAGTTCTGTATCTGATAAACAAGTCCAGAATTACGTCCATAGAGCAATTAAGCTCTATTATCCTCCATGTGTAAAAACGTACACAAAAATACACCTAATGAGAGACATAGGACTATTAAACAATGACTCATACAGAAATTCACCTAAAAGAAAACAGAAAAAATAACAACAAAAATATTTTTCTCGACTCCGGTACTTCCTGTGACCTTAACACTTACCACTAATTACCAAGTACTAGCTGTTCAACCACTTAACGGGTGAAGGCTGTTGCTAAGGGCGCCTTGCTTTGCCTCGCGCCGTTTCCTTTGGCGAGGCGCTCAGGCGAAACTCCGGTTCAGTGCTTCGGAAAAGGGGTTTATTTACAGGTGCTGATTTTCATTTTCTTATTCGTGTATCTAGTCGTTCGTTTTTGCTTTATTTGTTCAAGTATTTATCTGTCTATTTATTTATCCCTTCGTTCATCTGTTCGCTTTCTTGTTTGTTTGTTTCTTTATCTACTCATTTATTGATTTTTATTCGTTCATTTACTTGTTTGGTTTGCTTGCGGATATAGATTTCTGTTGTAGTTTTTTTACGTCATGAGTTTTCGGTAAATTATATATTTCGAAAAGAGTATATC